GTTTCTTCCTCCTCTTTTCTAACTTCTTGGTAATACAAGTGTCGACGGCATCGACGGAAAAAATGTCCTGTTGTGAGACGAAGTTTGCAGACACTCTCTTACGATGCAGCACTTTAAGGCCAAACTTTATGTACTGTAGCTAGCAGATCGAATCTTTAAAAATATTCTTTTCTTTGCGTATTTTCAATACAGCAGGCGCATGGACCACGCCGTCGTCTTCTCATGGATATTAGATGCAATTCCTGTCTGGAAGATATCAGATACGGTCGGGACACTAAGCAAAACGTATATTGAAGCATTTTCAAAAAGCTAATACCTACAAATGGGTAGGTCGACGCTACCTATAATACAGTTTGTCAGTAGAAGAAAATACGGGCCTTTGATCTAGATTGAATTAAAGATTTGCAGACATACAACGGATTTGTCCAGGCAAAACATAAAGTGGCGAGCACAAAGGTAGCAAAGATCTCCTGCTTTATATATGTAAACTCACTGCTGGTAGAAAATACCAATATGACTGTCGATTTAAAAAGCCGCTTGTCAGAGCTTACGGTACGATACGTCAACTGAAGTACACTCGACGCCGCTAGCGAAAGTAGCTTATCTGATGAAGATTCGTTCTCCATTACCGGGTAAATGCCAACGAGCTTTATTCTGCCAAAACATGTCAATCTTAATCAACGAAATCGTGCAATGACTCATTTCAACGAACCGTGTCTGTACAACCACATTAAAACAAAAATGATAAAGCTAACAATAAGTCTCCTTTGCCAGTTCAAATTTGTCACACATAGACAGTTTCCTATGGAAAGATTCCTTTCACTCACAATAATTTCGTATTAATTGTTATATATATACGCCTATGTTGTTATAGTATGGAACGTTATCTTCATTTATAAAAATGTACATTAGACGTTCTTGATATTTCGTCAAAAAAATATACGTAATTAATAAAATCACAGTAACCTAATTTGTTTACTTCTTACACCCCGCAAGTACAGTTGAGCAAAATACAAAGACAAAAAAATTGCTAATTTTGAAAAAAATTCAAAAATCACGTATAAGTCTTCTTTATTGGAAACTGAAGAATTTACACAACTATATAACGTGGGTTTGTTCCCAGTGACCGAATCGATTTGGTGGAATTTATGAACAGAAAAAAAGACTGTGCTTCTTTCAATACATTTCAAGTATTTCATATCACCGTCTACCCACAATACAGATAAAACTTTAATAAAGTCTTATTCCAATCTTAATCGGTTCGCAGCATACGCGTTTTTATATATATAAACTGTTTTGTTCGCCTTCGCATAAATGGATATTTTATATATTCGATTGTTAGCACTATACATAGGTCTGCACAATAGTCGAGTAAACCTGTACGTAGCTTGCCACTAATACGCCGAGTGTTACCACATATCATACAGATGCATTTCTGACACAGTATCTCGTGCGCCAAGTTGTCGACTACGTACAGCCGAAGACAAGAAGCGCGTTTCATGATGCTAAGTGTACGCTCTGAATGAATGTACGTGCGACACTGATCGGAAATCGTCTTAAGCCTTTTGTTCTACCCTTCTTGCCCCAACGCCGTCTTTGACATCGAGTGATTACCAAACAAGTTCCTACTACGCACCTATAGACGTCGGGGGTATCAGACTGGCAATATACAATTGACTGATTTCTAATGCAAAAAGGCTTTTAACGCCACTGAGCGAATGGCCCAGCCGATCAGGCTCTAAATATATTATCATTAGGAAGGCACGAAAAAGCCAAGGAAAGATTATGACAAGATTACCTTTTAGAGAGTGGAAGGTGATAAATATTTGCTATGGAACACACTCTACATGCGACAATGCGAAGAAATGTATTGTTGAGCGGCAATACATAAATGTGTAGCTATTTTTAATATGTTCGGATTGGCATACTGATTCTGTTTATGGAACTTTAAGGATTTTTTTATATTTTGTAAAAGTTTAATAATAATTATTTACATTTATTTCTTGACATGTTTGTTTTTCTCTGAAAACTAAGGAATTCTTTGGACAAAAGTTAAATATATATTTGCCGCCTCAGCTTTCCAATTGCCGTTTTTAGACACCCGCTCAAATTAATAACTACTTAAAACGCGTTCTCACTCTACTGTCGCACAGACAAATTAATACGACTAATAAAATTATTGCGATTAATAAAATTATTACGACTAATAAAAAAAGATTACTTTTAAATATAGGTATATGCACTACGTCTTTATTTAGTTCAGCAGAATCTATCGACTGGCGTCAAAAAACTTGCTTACATAGATGTTAAGTTTTCGCCCTTCAAACGGCATTTTCGACGCAGAAACTGAGAGTTGGGCTTATGAAGATGTGTGACATTTCGATTCCCTCATCGAGGACTTTCAACTGGTACTAAGAAGTACCCGACTGTCCGTAACGGCACACTTCGTGCGACCAAATATTTTCTGTATTTTGGGGTTTCTCTCAGAAAATCTTTCAGAAAATATTTTTTAAAAAAGACAAGAAGAACAAAAATGTTCGTCAGGTCAGCCGCTGCAACTTCAAGTGACACTTATCAGAAATTCGTTCAAAAAAGCACTACAAAATAGCTCGAAACGATTATTTATCCCACTATCACGAGGTCAAGACGAGCCCCTCAATGGGTTTTAAACCGTTTTTACTTCAAAATATCAACTTTTAGCATATAATTTTGATCCAGTTCAACATAGGTTTTGGAATTATATTAAGAACACTGCCCTTATATAGAACACCACGTAAAGTTTTAGACTTTCGCGGGCTATAAGAACGTTAAATCTAAGATCTGCATTTTGATTCAGTTCGGCGACAGCTTTCGATTCGTATGAAGAGCGAACCCTTTTATATAGACCTTTATGCAGACATTTGGCTGCCGTTTTGCCTGTCGAAAAAATTTACTTCGAAAACCTTACCAAAGTATGGCCCACCTTAACTCTCAGAATTTTCTTGCAGGCATGCAAAAGATCTTGCAAAAAAAAAGGCAAACATCACGAAAAAACGAATAATTTACCAGAAATTAACATTACGCTGTATGCATTACATTCTTATTCTTTTCATGCAGAAGTTTTCAGCCAATCAGCTCTATCTTGCAGCTTTTTCCTGGGCAAAACTTAAGCGATTCGCTTAAAGCTAAGCTAATCCGACTACCCTACGGCGTCAATTTAGGCCAGATAGACAAACAAACAGATGAAAAGTTTAAGTAGTATGTGTATATAGATTAACCCATCTGATCCTTCCTATACTGTCTTTATTATGATTTGGTGAACAGTACAATGGTTCAGCATAAAAATGCACATTGCCAGAAAGAAACGTTAATGCTTTCAAAAGATGCATTTTAAAAGTGTTAGCATTGAGAGATGTGTGCGAAATATCTAGAGTATTTTTCTGGAAATTCTGTTTCTTAGTGTAATGCGTACATTTGATAGTAATAAAAGTATTGGGAGCACTTCTGTACTTTATGATATCCCTTCATCAGGAAACTGCGTTATTGTTTTTACATATTTTGCAGTATTTAACGCAATTACAGTATTTGACAGGCTTTTGTTTCGATTAGCTAACCAAATCTAAAACCAAATCTTCACGATATTAACTAAAATAACAAGAAGATATCTTAATTGCCTCTTACCTCTTGTAGTAAAACATATGACAACAACATATGACAGGACATTTAAATGAAGCACCGAGATAAGATACGGTAAATTGATTACTTGCTTGGAAGTTGTAAATAGTTTTTCCACTCAGGTATTCAGCTTTGTAGAGGCACCGCTGTATAGGTATACAAAAAATCTCCCATTCTGCAATATTCAAGCCAACTGTACTATAGTAGCACACTCAGCTATTCCAACGAGCAAACAGGTTAATCTTTTGAAAATGATGTAATGAGAGAAACTGCTTAGATTGCGTTGAGCCAGATACCTAATAGGTATGAAAACCAAAGAAAATGCTTATTCATTCACCGCTTAATTTACTGGCTCATGTACGTCTAAATCCACAATTAAACCTTCTTTAATACAATGTATAGAATTAATTTTCTTACTTGTGTACAAGGCAAAAATATTCTTTGAGCAACACGATGCGTTGATTGTAAAGATTGGAACCAGTACGCCGATCATTTTGATGAACATCATGGCAGTCCTTGCTTAAAGATTTTGAGCCCCTACTGACCACTATCATTTTTGCTGTAAGAACCAAGTCGAAGATTATTTCTCATGATGTTCAAAGCAAGTTATACAGGGTGATTTTTTATTTCCATCTGTTCATGTCGCTTCAAATAATTTTGTTATATGAATACGACAAATCCGCGTTCAAATTTTTATATTGTTAAGCGGCGACTTGGAAATGTGGTAAGCGGTCGCATTATCGTTATGTCATTTGGAAATACAAATAGCACAATTATCTGTTGTTATCAGCTTATTTTTTCAGTGATCAAGTCAAGAAATATTGAGAAAAAGTATCGTTTTCTAAAAATATTATACGCTACTAGAAAACTCTGTGACGATGACAAAAAAATGTGCCCGTTTATTGACGACAATGGTATCAGTAAACAAAAAATTGTTTAGTCTTTCTTCGGCCTTAGTTCTTTTAAACACCACCTGTCATCAACAAAATTCTTAATTCAGTAAAAAATGTGGCCCTATAGCTTGACCGGTTAAGACTTTGGCTGCAAACTATCATTGTGCGCTGGTTAATCATCACTAAGTGAAGAATTGTTGTCAAATCAAAAATACTTTTACCATGTAACAGAGCGCGTGACCAAACACCAATTATTATGTTCCTTTTATGCGATCAAATGCGCCCGTCCAAAAATAGTTTGCCTATATTTCCCTCACCTCAATAACCTATCGCGCAATACCAGTGACGGGCACAATTTCGAAAAAATCTTCTACTGTCAAAAGCGCTGTTTCGATTTTCTGCTCCGTTCATATAGATTGTAAACAATTGAAGCAAAACAGTTGCGTGGTCGAATATACCTGCGGTTGTGGTTACTCCTTTAGGAAGAATATGATGAGGGCTCATAAAAATCGAGCCAATTTCTAGTAAATAAACAGTCGTGGAGTGATTGTTTATGTTCCGTTAACTACATCAAATGAGTTTCGGCCGTAGAAGAATTGCGGCTGTATTCTACGTCGTTCGTGCAAAGTCGATATTGAGCGCCCGATGTGCATTTATATGCTGTGTTGATCAACAAAGACCTTTTGAACTTGCTAATAGATTGTGCTTAATGAACGCTCAATTTAGCTCGGGATGCGTTACTTAAGTGTACACTAACCTAGTCGAAGTCTTGCATTTGCATCTAAATGCGCATCTCGCGATACTCAGCCGTGATCTATCACGATGCAACCTGTCGTCGCCGGTGTCAGCACAATGTCAACAATACGTCGAACAATACGCCTTGGGCCCCACCGGGCTCAGGTAACCGCCCGTGCATTTTCCACAGTTCAACGTGTTGATGTGGAGGCACTGGTTACTCTGCCAGAATGGGAGCTTCGTCCATTGCTTCCCTGTTTAGTTCGGATGGCCCTATGTGCACCCCTTGACACACGCCCTGAATGGGCCCGCAAAAAAGAAGCTATTCTCCGCGTGCTCTCGGGTATCGAGAGCGTCAATTCACTGGTAGCATTGCTTAGCATCGATTTTCATTTACTTGAAATTGACGTTCGAAAGGACCAAATGCTTCGGGCCAAAGCCGGCCCGTCTGCAGATAGTATACTGATCCCACCACTTACGAACGCGATATCGATTGAATTCGAAAGAAGTGACGCTGCAGGCCGATTACGTTTGGTCCTGTCACAGCTGTTAACATTAATGGTTAGTAACGGAGCTCAAGTGGACAAAGAGCGCGTCGCCGATTTGTTCTCAATGGACATTTACGTCGATGAAGTCGCTGATGTTCTAAGCATTGCTCACACAGAACTTCCAGGTCTACTTTCAGTTGCTGACATGTCCGAAGCGCTTCTAGTTGTTAAAAATGGCGCGGCATTTGTTACCCGACTCGTGGCCAATTCACCGGAAAGCTTTCTGGAGGTAGCCTATCAGTTAATTAGCAATGCTAGTGAACGACTGGAAGATAGCGATCGTCGGGCGGATTGCCTAGGCCAGCTATGCAGAATGAATCCAGCAGAGGCGCTACAGGTTCGTGCACGAGCGGTTGAATTGTGCCGTATGCCAGAGCTATGTGTTGTGTTAACACTCGAACAGCCTGAACAGCAGTCTGATTTGGTCGCTTTCGTCTCTGGTTTACTGCTTGGCTCCGATGAGAAAGTTCGTAATTGGTTTGCGACTTATGTTCGAAATTACCAAAAACGGCCTGAACAAACCGCGTTATCCCTGATGCGAGCCAAACTTTTGCACAAATTGAGATCGTCAATTAGCTTCAATAAAGATTATCATGAGCTGGCCGAGAGCACTGTCATTGTCGAGATGAATGGCTTGATTCGCTTGTATTCTGCTTTGAAAGTCGCTGGTATGCGCTTTTCCGACGAGGAAAACCAAATTCTTCTACAGGTGGTCACCTGCAGATGCCAGCCTACACCTGCAGGAGTTCGTTTCATCTGCCTTTCCGTTAGCATGCTCTTGTCCAGTCCCGCATTGATCGCTACGCAGGAGTTTGAACGGCAAGCGCTCGAGTATCTTCGCTACCTAGTATCTCAGGCACAAGAAGGTGTGGCTGAATTACTACTTCTTGTTGCTATTCACTTCCACGCAAATCAGCTAGGTGCCATCGCCGAGCTTGTTTGCACCACGCTCGCTATGCGTGTAGCTGTCCGACCGAACAGTCTAGCAAAAATGCGCTCTCTGTTTATTGCCGAACTTTTTACTGAGCAGGTGGTAACCGCTCACGCTGTTCGGGTGCCCGTGACGCCCAGGTTGAACGCCGATGTCACAGGCTTTTTACCAGTTCACTGCGTCTATCAGCTGCTAAAAAGTCGCTCGTTTAGCAAACAACGGGTGTCTATCAAGGACTGGGTTTATCGCCAGCTACTGGAAGCAACCACCCCGCTGCATCCAATACTTCCGTCACTTATTGAAGTCTATGTTCATTCAGTTCTCAGTCCTATTGGCGAGTGTACGCATCAGCCATTAACTGACGCAGAGGTCATATCAGCTAGTAGTAAAACAAATGGCATCAAGGCCGAGATTTTGCCGTCGCTTTTAATGCTATACTATTTGCTACTGTATGAAGATGTGCGGCTTGCCAATATTCGTCAATTGCAGGGGGCTGCAAAGGGCAGGAAGGTGAAGGCGTACAGTGCAAATCTTATCACTCGGCTGCCCATAAGGTACAATGTCCCTAGGGGGTTTCGAAGATGGGTCAAAATCGCCACTTATAATCAGAATGTTACAGAAGGACAAATCATGATAAAGCAACACAATTCATAATATGTCGAAGTCAATCATTCGCCAAGTATCTGATAAGTAGACAACCCGCTATTCTTGCATTTGCTGTTAATGGTTATATTGTTGATTTTTGTTGTTGGTGTTACTCCAATCTCACTTTGGTATTTATGACGGCAGGTACCTCGTCCAGCAAACGCAGGAGGAACAAAAAAAATACGCAGGGCTATTCGCGCCTCTTCTACGCCTTCTCGCTCATCAATTCCCACATCTTTGTATGACAGAGGATTGGCTGTTGTCAGAAACCAATAATGCCACCTGCGCCACGCCTGTAGCTCGCAAGGACGCTACCGCTGTTATGAAGGTCAGTGTTATACTTATCTTGCATTTTCTTATCGAGTGTATAGCATTGCGCTATTAAGTTGACGTGTACTGACTAAAGAAATGCTTAATGACAATATCGAGTGGGAGACCTGAAACACTTATTTAGATGACTTCATAGAATTTCTGTTGAAATCGTACGATCTCATATTGCGGGTCCTAGCAGTTCGTAGGAAATCTTTACTCCTAATAATACATATCGCAGTTTCCATTCCCATTAGACTGATTCTGCAAAATTATAATTGCCATAATCACCACTATATTATAACTTTGCATTCATTGAATTGTGCTATTGACATTATGTTACAGCTTACAAAATGTGTAACGCCTGAATCGTTAGCTGAAGCCCTATCCCGTGTTGAGTCGTGCCCAATCGGAGCTACCTCACAGTTGGCGCACGTCCTACAATTAGAGTTAAGCGAATTGTGGCCGTTTGCGGGGTCGCTGGTATCAGAGCTGCCGAATTTAATTTCACCTGCGGTGCCACGCCAGGTCGTAGAAAAAGCCCGTGCACTTTGGTTTCGTCTGAATCAGGTCTACCCGCGGCGACTTTGGGTATTAACAGTTAACGCATTTCGGCCTACTGAAAAGGTTTGTTTTAAGATCGTGGAGTTAATATGCCTTGTCTAGTTGAATAACTTTTCTGAGAATCGATGTAGCAAAAACTAGCCTGAACTGACTGCCTATGCTAATTACCTTGTAACAAAAGTTCCTTTAGCTTGCACAATTTTGTCTGGTCGATAGAAATTTGAGGAACCGTAACCCATAGATCATTAGTCGAAGGTTTGTACCATGCCAGGTCTTGTCCGGTTAGAGTTACCTTGCAGTTATCTTACCTCGTACAATCGGAGCCAAACAAATTGTAATTGTTTGTGTGGTCATTGGTGCCGAAACTATTTTTATTAGACTGAAAGCAACCTAGATGTATCACGTAAATAACCTGTTTTCAAATTCGTTCTGTGTTAGATGCATTCTTATTAGCAGTTTTGCTACATTGTACTTTACATACTAGGTTAACAGTTCATTTAATGGTTAATTGATCCTTTACTAATAAGATGACGTTTTGAATTTAACTTTACATGCCGCCTGGTTGTCAATGCTCGAGATGCCTCTTTATAAAAAATAGACAAGGAGCTTTACCTAGAATCTCCAGGCATTTACTGTGTTTAATATTATTTTAATTTCCTTGCGTTATATAAAAGACGTTCGACGCCGAGAATTCATGAAGTATCAAACGTGGTGATTACTAGGCATTTTTGCATAAATTGCTGTCATTCTGCCGACAGGTCACTTTGGACGAGCTAATCATGGACCCTTTGCATGTTCTGAGGTGCGACCCAGCCATATTACGGTGCGCCGTGACTCTTGAGATTGTCCTTCATATGCTGAGGGCTCTCTTGGCTGCTTCACGCACCCAACTTAGTCTTCACTTATCAGAAAACTGTGCACCCGATGCGGCGAGCGCTGCCGATAGGGATGAGCTTCGTGTGGCGCTGGTAGCCGCTCAAGAAAGTGCCGCTGTCCAAATCCTACTGGAGGTACATGCCACTTTTTATTTAATTTTAAGTAGATGTTTGCCGTTTCGAACTTTTTCCTTTTTTGTGACCTATTATCTTTGTCATCTATGCTAGATTGTTTACTTCAAAAATTTAATTTTAATATCATGTACTGGCATGGGATAGTGGAACACGATTTTTCTTAAAACAATGATAGCGATAATAGTATTATTAAAGCTGATAAAAGTTTTTCTAACAAAAAAATTATAACATCTGTCATTCGCAGATCTGTTTGGCTCCTGGCGATGAGGGCCTCCTCTCGTCCACCCGTGAGTGTCGGACACTGGTGTGTTCCCAGTTGCATCAAATGTTCATTGCGGATCCGCAATTAGTACATTTGGTTCACTATCAGGGATATCCTTCGTCGCTACTGCCAATGACTGTGTCTTTGGTGCCTTCAATGCACATTTGTCTTGACTTCATTCCTGAATTGTTGGCACAGCCACAGTTAGACAAGCAGGTGTTTGGCATCGAGCTTACATCGTATCTTTGCCTTCAACACGCCATACCGCGTTCGCTATCCATTGCCCGTCTCTGTATAACGGTAGCAAATACGCTACTCGGAGTGCTACCATCTTCCAGGTCCTTTTCTCCATTGTTTGTTTTTTTTCTGACTTAAAGTATTGCAGTAGCAGTAACCTTTTCAACTATTATACAGATATCGTATAGCCTATGAATGGTTGTTAGATATCGATGTTTGTCATGTAACAACGCTGGTTAAGAATAGCGCTAATTAGCGGGTTTATTCTATTCTGTTTTGGTTAATCTCAATCTCTAGGAGGCCTCAGCTATTTCTGCCTGCATTGCCGGCTTTGGTCCGGATGTGTCGAGCTTTCCCTCCCCTCTCCGAAGACGTGGCCATTCTGCTGCTGCAGCTTGCCAAAGTGTGTCTCTCCCAGGAGAGCACCAAGGCGTTGCCTGATATCGGTGAGTTCGTTGGTCTACAACTATTCGTTAGTCTATGCTGTAAAAGTAATTTATGACATGCGAATTTCGGTACAGGCTGCTAATTATAAATGCAAACTCTTAAGCAATGTATTATAGTAGGTAATCCACGTCCATAGGTGATCAAAAGTAATTTACATTTTAATTTTGCTAGAATTAAGATACTGGAGTACATTCTATTCAAGTATTAGACTCATCAACGGACTACCCTTTACCTCAGTTTTCCAACAAACCGTTAATAATCATGTAAATTTACGATTTCATTATTACTCAGTAGTATTTTTGTCTGCAATTGATTATGATGCAATACGAAGTGATGACATTTTAGAATAAAATAAATAAAAAGCCGACAACCACTGCAACAAGATAATAATGATAAAACAACTTACCAACTTATGGAATTATGTAATTCTATTCTCACTCCATTTCAGGCGAAGAAGACGAGAATCGGGAACTTTGTCGGGTTATTCAGAAGTCATTTTCCGATCTCGGTGGCTCGAATTCGGCCCTAAATTCTAGCGTCTATTAATTAGTCACAAGCCGCAATACAGGACTTGAAAGTCAAATCAAGTACTATCGTTTTGTGCTACGAATAATATAACAATATAATAACCATATTAAACACCGGGTCTCATGCCACTAATACATTCGTCTTATGACATTACAATGATGTTGTGGCTTTCCTTATCAAGTAGCCAAGTAACATTTTTGATACTTTTGGCATTTTTGTCAGTTTGGAACTTTTGTTGGCCTTAAATAGTTTAAAGAAGTCGTGTTTTACACATCAGTTTGGCATTTTGAACTTTCTGGCATTTGAACTAATCAGACAGAAAGAAAGATGCGGAGTAATGACGGAGTAAAGAAAGACGGAGTAATGACGGAGTAAAGAAAGACGGAGTAATGACATTTGCCTCGTGAGGATTTATTATTTGTTACTATAAATCATACAGCAAATGATGCCGGCATAATTGAATAGGTCTATGTGCAAAGTGCGAATGGTTGCACAGTTGTTTCTACCCGACAGGCGGAGCTATTCTTGCGTAGTGTTCTACCTGACACTGAGTACATGAATTTAATACAGATATTACAGACATATTGTATATATTAAAAGCAACGACTTGTATAAAATAATGGATGTGGATATATTAAAGTTGCTTAAGGATGTAATTTTACGTAAAAATGTATTACTGAGTGCTATTTAAAGGCGTATGATCCTAAGAAAAGCAGTTATTTTGTTCAAATATTTTACGGGGGACTCGTTATAAATATAACAAGAAGAGACTGGATTCGTTAAGAGCTTAAACGTTCCATCTGATAGTTAAATACTCTTGGTAAGCTTTTATTGTTTCTAAACAAATATCAAGGAAAAATAATTAACCTTATTATTCATTACGAATTAATGATATTAAACAATACAACTTCATCTGGGAATTTATATATTTTATTCAGTCGAATCACTTATATGCCAAATTTATATCCGACGCGAATTTGCTCTACTGTGCTTTTAGCCAATCACTTATTCGATTATCCGTGTAAGGTCCTATGTATTTCGAGTTCTACATCCAATACCGCCGTTAGCCACTCCTTCTAACGGCTTGTTTTTACCGGCAAGAAACCAAATGTATCTACGATTGGATTCGAACCCAGACCACCGCGTATCCTTCAAGTCGAGCATACAAACACGTTACCCACCATTCATCACGGGGCTGTGCGGATCCTAATATATGCTGGGAGCAATGGGAGAAGAATAGCAGTGGAATTTTTTTACTGCTGTCAGTTTTCGACACTGTCAAACTTACGGTTCTAGAGGTTTCACTACGAATCTATAAAAAAAAAACAAAGCATGCTTCCACGACGATCTAGGCATACTGGGCGCTCGATTTAAGAATCATGTGCCTTTCTGGAAAAGGCCAACATTCCTACGGATGAATAAAGCTTTTTTTGTTCAAAATTGAGTGGGGTTTTGTTTTTTTTTATTTGGGAAATGTCTATTGTCTATTGTTTAAATATCATATGGTTAATCAAAATGACCGATGGCAGACTCAATGCCAATTCGATCGAGTGCGTATCGTGAACGCAGCCTATTTTATAGGCGTATCCTTTTCTTCCACACGACAGAACAGTAGCACAGTAGTAGCGTTTTTTGCGTGAATTTCCAGTTTTGTACGGACGTATGACTCGTCTAAATAAATTACGCTTACAAGACCTGCTACGACTTCTGGTCGTTACGGTTTTTTGCCACTATTGTTGTGGTTTTTGATAGCTTGGCACAAGCATTGTCAAGGGTTGCCAGTTTAGGCAGTCGTTGTATAAGCTGGCTGAAGATTAAGCTGTGAGTCGTCGGTGGCAGCATTATTATCTTTATTAATGTCCGAAAATCCCGGCTCCGCTTCTCCGCGCGTCTGATGACTTAGCTGCTGCCTTTTCAGTTGACGCAGTTGCCGACCGCGAGTGCAGGCCCGGTAGCAGATTTCGAAGAATGCTAGGACAAAGCCGACAGCAATACCTGACGATGAAAAATCAGCCATGATAAAACGTTAACGAAGTAATGGACAGCCTATAATGAAAACGTATTTCATTGAACAAAAATAATTCCAGATTATGTTTTAGTTATAAGCAACAGGATAGACTCATAAGCCGTGCTAACAAAAGACTCACTTCATTTTGGGTTTTAAGGATAGAGATGAAGAACATCACAAAAAAATTCTGCGTACCTGCTGCTGGTATGGCAAGCACACCAACGAAATTGTATAGATGCAGGTTTGATCCCATAACAGGTAGCTTTCGATGGGATAAGGAACAATTGGCCTTTTTAAGCCACCATTTACTGCGGAGTTCATCCAGTACCCCTCGCTCGTAGAGCTTGGTGATAGCGTTGTCGATTTCTTGCCTAAAGAAATTAGTTATGGTAGTGAAAAGAAAGGATGTGCACTAATCAATATTTCAACATGATATACGACTTATACGATATGTGGATTAGAGACAAGAAGCCAGTACCTCAGGTATGAGTCCTTGGGCAAAATAGCGCCAATGCTTTGTATGCCAAGGGGAACTCCTTGAACACGGAAAGTATCGCAAGGTGCACGAGAATTGATGAAATCGGCTTTGTTAGAATCGAGGAAGAACACAAAGCTTCCGTTAGATTCGCGCACTTTTGCCACGCCCTCATCATCACTGTCGATCGGTTCGGAGTGTGAATTTCTCCTCAATTTATGGGCAACAGCCTCAAGCTGCTCATCAGTTGTGCGTAGAGCCTAAGTTAAAGAATATATTTTTCATATAATAACAACGTCGGCTTTGCATCCAATGTATCTTTAATGAAACAAACTAATTTTGAACTGACTATTATGTTAAATTAAAATGTAGTTTTTTTTTACTAGGAACGGAAAAAGTGATATGTGAATTTAAACAAAGATATAAAAAAATAAACAAATTACCTGAAAGTACGTCTCCGCTATAGATCCCCGAGAGTACCCATAATTGATTGCCTCCTGGTTAGCCAATTGAGAAATGTTGGTGAGTTTAAAGATTTCCAGGGTGGCTCGTTGACCTCTAAGCAGCGGTACCAACTGCGCTGTATATGCAGAGTATACCAGAAGGATGAAGACCCACCAGAAATTGGATATTACCCGACCTGCAATAGACCTATAAAAACATATGAAAAAAAATCATTGATATAGATCAGAGCAGCATACGATCTAGGAAAACAACGTTGAAGTTTCTAGGATATCCCAAATATTTAGCAGAGTTAAAATAGGTTTTACCAAACTCTCTGAACATCACTATAATGATTCATGCACCTTATATAGTGGTGTTTAGATATATTCCGATATCCTTCCTCACCTTGCGTAATAGGAGTCCAGATAATGTGGCGTGAACGTGTCAATTGTAAAATTGAGCGAATTATAGAGATCATCACAGAATGAGGTGGCGTGTTCAATACTTTTCTTTGAGTCAGCGCAGGCGATGCACAATGAAAAGATAAACATTAAAAGAAAGACTATTCCGAACGATGACGCGAGCATAATCCAAAGCGGCCAGCCGAAAGGACGCAAAAATGTGAGCAAAATCTGCAAAAGAAATAGGTAAAATTGCAACAATAGGTGCAAAGCGACAATAGGTGAAACTGAGTAAAAACGAAGTCTTCTAGAAATTATTTCTAGGAAGATTTAGCAAGTTTGCTGGGTAAAATTAATGCTAGAAGAGATAGTATGAACGAGTACTCAAATGCTGTTAAAACAGCATTGATTAGTCTTACAGAAAGTTTGACACACGTACATAAAAATGAATCAGTGGAATACAGAATTTGCTTTTTAGCGTGTACCTGATCGTGTATTGTGCGGTGTACAGATATAGGCATATAATGCAGATTTTCATCTTTATTAATATAATAATATCTGAATTCGTCGTGCTTCTTGAGCGGCCTGTAACGCTGCATAAAGTTTTGGTGGTGACAATGACCAAAAAAAAATAACAGCGAGTAAATAGTAGTCATTATACATATACTAATTCTCAAGTTGATGAAATGGAAAAGCCAAATTAAAAGTTTGATTTTGTTTAAGTAACCGAATAAACTCAACAGGCCTCTAGAATGTTCTCTCCGTTGCGAAGCTTATGGCTTCGAAAGCACTACGTTGTCTCATCTAGCTAGGGGTCATCAAACAGACACAGTTTTCGTGAAAATGTGCTATGAACGCACATAAGCTGACCTTATACAGGTATTCTCACCCATTGAGGCGAGCTACGCCCTTTTGCGCGTCTTATTTTTGTCGCCTCAAAAAATATAGTCTGTTCCTCTCCACTAGAAAGTTATATACGCTAGTAAATGCTATTTCTAGAACATGTGTTAAAGCAACAGGTGGTGGTGCCACATTTCAATTGCGGCTGGGTTCGTCTTGGTTACTTATCTAATATGGTTAAAATCTAAGGTAATAAGTCTGTGAGCATTAAGTTCAACTTTAAATTCAATAATAGAATTACTCGAATCAATATGAAATCGAGCAATTATCCGTTTTTATTTCTACCTGAATACAATCCGGACTAGATTTCTTAGAGGCAATGGCCGCAATTCCGGTATGAAGGAAGGGTTGACTGTATTCAACGACGTCTCGCAGGAGTTTTGATTGAGGACGCGAAACCAATCCAAAGTCAGCCTCCTAAAAGGCGCAAAAAAGTTATCTCAGCAATATTTCATCATGTTATATATATACTGGTGGAAAGTCCATAATATTTTTCATTTTCAAAAACGTATTCAGTAATGTGTACGTTACAAACGTATTCATCCTCGTACAAAATTGTGTTTGTGAAATGGAAGCATTTTCACGCAAATATTTACAATAATAATGTAAAGATAATAATTGCTTTCTCCTACATTTGTACAAATTCAAACGTTCTGAATTTACACAGTTTCCGTATAACATACAGCGATACCACTTCCGGTTTAGTTTGATCATCTCGTCTTTGTTTTGGCTCGACTTACCCCTCGCATTATCTCGCCAACGACGCCCCCCCAACCGCCAGGTGCGAGGTTGCTTTCGGCTCCCAGTTCACCATCCTTGGCCACACGCAGTTCGTAACGGAATCCAATCACTTTCGCAAGTTCCTGCGCTAGGTCCGCCAAATAGCCTGTAGAAGTGAAATTGAAAATAGAAAAGATAGTTTCATATTAATTTTTTTGTATACACCTACGTGTGTCGCCATTGCATCATATTTCAACTAGAAGTAAAGTAAGTATTGATAACTATAACATTATACACATAAATGTCACGTTAAGTGATTGTCTACAGTAGTTTGTATGCGAAGCATTCATTCGTTTCGAAAGAGTAGTCTCTCTAATACGAAATGCCTTATTTCGCATTGGTGAAACGGGCAATACAAATTTTTGCAACTTCTAAACGTGTGTTAAGAACACAGTGGACTTCCATGTAGATAAATCATTCGTTATGACGTGCGTGAGGTAGGCCTGAGCATACCCTGAAATTTTTTGTTCGGATCTAACAGGCTGGTCTGGCCATCTGCCCGGTCTTGTAGGAAAAGGAACGGCTCGTCGAGAAGCGTTGAGATGATGTATGTTCTTTCTCTATTGAGCTTAAGCTCTTTTTGTCGGTCGATTCGCTGCGACACCAGAGAGAATCCTTTGCCTGACTCCCACTGGGCAAACTGCAACGAACAAAACGACACCTCACTGTAGTAGAATCGATCAAGCCTAATTTGGTGATATAAACCACGCGACTCTGCCTGGACCCTGTTGTACTTTGCTACGTAATCTACATAACTTGTCTGAGTTCATTGTTTTTCTGATCAGTGGTCCGTTTTAGTTGATTATTGCATGTTCTTCTTAATTATTTGGATTGCTATGACATGCTATATTGTAGAACAATGGTTTAGCGGAATGTGTTTGATACCACTATTCCCTTGGCGCAAGTGCTATCGGATATTGTCTTTCATTTACTTTCTATGTAGTAACGAGCTGATAGCATCACGCGTTAATAATCACTCATATTAGCTAAAAAGATATTCACCTGAATCAGACTACCGTCTTTAGCGAGACGAATAACGTCGATAACGTAATTTTTACGACAGCCGTCATTGTTAAACTCCAGACTCCCGGTCAGTCCATTTGGTTGCCATTTCTGTAAATTGTCGCAGACAGAGTATATATTTACATATATATAAGAGCTAAAATTGAAAACTCGAAATCCGGAATTCGTTCGGTAAAGTGTTGAAAAATCTTTATTTGGCGAATGCAGTCGTGAATGAGTCATAATTAACACAAGTTGTTATTCACTTGTGTTCGACATATTTATAGCAATTTTACGTTGATCATAATCTGTTTACAAAATTCGTTCACTAAATTTTACAAAACCCACCACCCTTCTTTTATGCTTACTTTGCAATTCCTTTCGAATATCTAACCTGTAAATTTAATTGGCAGATTGATGTTGGTCTTGTAGACTACTTTGTTCTGTCTGTTTTTACTCGAATTACTGTCGCTCGAATCCTACCAACTTCCATTCGTTCTACGTTCGGAAAATCTAATCCCAGTTAACGCTGCTTTTTTTCGACCCAATTAGCTCGAACATTGCTATCATGTGTCGCTCTTTGCTAGCTACTACGCCCATCGAACGTAACATTCCAAAACAGTGCACACAATGTGGGCCATCAACGTAATTTGATGACCACCTGGAGAGCAGTACAACCTGCCAAGAAAATTAGTCTTGATAAAATTATTCAGGAGCATTCCAGGAGACTTCCAAGAGCAAACAGTTCTAGCTTATCCCGCTTCCTCAAGGGTCTGCTTTTTCTTTTCTCTACCGCATCGTTACTGCCCAGCGTACACATTACGGCAGCCACCCATTTTAACATCCTATTTGGTTGACTGTAGGAGCTTGTTACGTGCTTTACCTGTACTCTAACAGTATATTTATGTTAGCGAAGCATTTCAATTTTCATCGATCTCTCTTTCCCATTTGTTTCCTGTTCGTTCAATTGCATTTGATTTAATTTTCGGGTCATCAACTTCCTTAATAACTGATTTGGTTAGTATGGCCGGCCCGCCGTTTAACATCGTGGCCCTTCATAACCCGTGCTATTTGTCCCTCTGCATTGTTTGTATACCCTGTTTCTTCCATACTGCAGGCTACGGTCAGTCGAAGCCACCCGACTGTCCTTGTTCGTTCATTTATATGTAGAACTGTCCCGCACAGAGAGCTTCGACCGGTATTATTACACTGGCAGTAGTAGTTGCGACACGCCGATGTAGGCGTACAGAACAGCTACGCTGGCCACAGAGCCTTGGGAACTTTCCATTGCGCGCACATGTACCCGGACCCGCCCGCGCTCTGTGGTTTCAACACGAGCCCATTGGCTGGAAATGGGGGATAACATGGGGTGAAGTCGCTTTAGAGGCATTTTGGGAGAAGGGCTAAGGGAGGGAGGCGTCGGGCGCCTAGAGCTCTGGTTAAGGGATGTACGAAGGTTGCGGCGGCGCCGGAGCACCCGCGCCACGCAGAGATACTTTTAAAGATGAAAGCGTTTCGGCGACGAAAACGCCGCCCGTTGCGTCAGAAAGGAAGTCGGAACGCGGTGCTTTCACTGAAAGCGTGGCCGTATAGCTCCGGCAGTCGTCATGCTAGGAAGGTCGCGTTGGCATTATGGTTATGGCTGCTATACGGCAAACAGCTGCTATATGGCCGATACTACTCATGCGGGAAACAGGACTGGCGGAAGAGAACTCGAAGTAACGCTGGATGACTGTTGACTGCAACTGGTGTTGGAGTCAACAGTGGAAGCGTTGCGCTGTACGGACGCAAATAGACGTGGCGCCCTACTTTGACAACTCGCGTGTAGGACAGCGAGGGCGTCCCCACGAGATTGCTCAATGCCCTTTTACAGTCGTATGATGTGCGAACAGCCGCAAGCTTTCAGGTGCAAATATGTGTCCGTATATGTATTGTTATCCCATATATTTACAATCACGTAATACGTACACACAGACGTACAAATGATCATACTACATTTAAACTACTAATCATAGCCACCGAAAAGTAACGTACACGAAAGTTTTCCATTGGTTAGTTGTTGTTAAAGCAAATTATATTACTGTACGATATAAACTTAAATGTCTCCAGCTTTAGGTCCATTGGAACTGTAGTGGACTATCTCGGACTGTTGATCCGCAGTACGACACAGATATGCCTTATTCACGATTTAAACCTAAAGTTCACATGTCCCTGACCTTAGCAACCAGAGACGCTGCACGATCACGGAGGCAGATAGTATGCATCATAAATAAATAGTTCGAGCAGCACCTAGTACTTGAATTGTTGCTATGCAGTGCCAGCCAGTCGTAGTACTGGCTGGCTTTTGTAGGAAGGAATTTTAGATATGCGCACCAAGTATTGCCTGTGTCTCCTTCTTGTGTACCTGCGTCTAGAAAAAAATATGCTAGCTTATGAGAGCGGTACGTATACACACGCCCACTTTCTGTATCTGTGAATTACATTTACATACGTCTTTTGTTTGCATCGAACAGACGTTTCTTTCCTATTTAGAAATAATGTAGGTCTTGGATAGCTAAAGCCTTAACGCTGGCATCCCTAGGGAAATAATCAGTCCGGTACATTATGGATCCTTAGCTTCCAGTTAAGATAAAAATAGCCCTGGGATCGGTAACAAAATCTAGAGCGGGCTGCGAGCGAAACGGCTACAATATTTGCAGTAGGAATTCACATTTTGAGAACTCCTGTCACTGTCGCTGCCAGTAGTAGCTAGAACTCGTCGATTGACTCAACTAACCTAACCTGTCAGTTGTTATTCAACGGTCTGATGTTGATCGATAATTAAGCCGAATCGGCATTTGTTTATTTGCATGTCAGAATTGTCGTATCAACACATACTCATTCGCCGTTGGTGCTGCCTACAATTTGGGCAGGCTAGCACCTCTCTCTAATAATGTATTATTTGCCTAGTGCGGTTTACTAACGTAAATGGCAGCCACATTAATGTACAATGTAATTTTCAGCTCTGTTTCGGCGTACAATGCTGGGTCGCCGTGCGACTCGAACAGAAACGTATGGTGCGGGTATCAAAAACAGCTCGTATGTTCGACAGTTTGGACAGTAGCGTATCGTAAAGGTTGTATGCAATTTAAAGCCAATATTTTGTCGAAGCCGGGTGGTTATTGAGTCACATATTGCAAATTCCTATGGGATTTACACAGCTTTACGAAACGGCTATTGGGAAAGCGTGCTTCGACGCAATGTTTTGCTAGGAATATAGGAGGGATTCGAATTTGTAACGCAGCGGTTTGTTTTTAAGAACACATTGTAACGACGTATATAAACTTTTTTTTTTTGCAAAATAAAGATCGAAAGTTTGATAAAATATCTTAGACATTTCTCGCTTCGTTTGTATGCTTAATTCAATTTAGCGGGTGAACTCGTCGGGCAACTGTGTGACAATGAAGCCTTTTGCTGTTATGGCAAATGGGCAGTAGTGTTTTTTGTGTTACGACACCTTTTGCCCTTAGATTTTAAAGTCAGCAGAGTAGGCAGCGTGCATAAAATATCTGGCGCAACGCGTAAGTTACTATATTAAAATAATCAATTGGGGATCCGCTATTGTATTTCGTCAGTGAGCATACTTATTCTGAGTATAAGCCTTGCTCGTCTGCGTAAAAGCACTACGCTAACCGGAATTTTACGCCTACGTCCCGTTCTACAGTCACATTGTTACATAACATACCAAATCTTACACAGCTGATATCTCTAATAAATAACTATTTCTGCTTGTCCGCATTATCCACTCCATTATGTTAATGTTCGTAGATCAATAACGTATCACTATTCAGTAATTGCGCTTTTTCGCGAGAGGATTTGATCAATACTGGAAGTCTTACATTCCTGATTATGTCTCAGCTAAATTAACCAGGTTTAACTAGAACTGACGGGCTGCACCTGCTAGATACAAGGAGCAGTAACGATCAACTGTGTGCTCTCCGACTGAATTGTCGTGCTCTATGAATGTTTGTACACCCATATATGTATAGGATCTTTGACTTATCATATGATCTTGGCTATACATTAGCTACTGCCATTGGCGCTGGATAGCCCAGTGTTTTAGGTAAGACTTTCCAATTATACTATGGCTTTATCAGAGATTTTTGGCCGGATATAGTAGTTTTTGCTTACATCAAGCACGAGAGCGGCCTAGAGGCAACTGTTTTATTTCATATCTGTAAACCCTGTTGGCAAGGGGGGCTGAGGTTATCCAAATATTACGAAGGATAGGACAAAAATAATAGCAGAAGTTCACTGTGCATTGGCCCCTGAGGAGCTGTTGTTCGTTGAATCTTTATTGTAAATCTTGTTCAGTAAACTTTTTTGATAAATATATAGGAAACGTTAATTAAGTCACGTTATTGGAACATGTATGTGTTCAAACAACAAACAGCGTTCCTACATTTTATATGGCTGTTGTCGATTTAAATAGGATTAGTTTTAAATTTTGTTATCAAGAGACCGGTTAACTCCAAGCGGTTAGTTATCCTTAACAGTCTTCCCTATTCAATATTCAGATCAAATTAAAATAGAGGTCATAATGGAGAACGTTGCCTCAGGTCCGGTAAAAATGAAAAAACTAAAAGAAACGCACATTATCCGTGTATCTCTATCCACATTCTAATGCTCATTTTATATTTATTTCAGTAACACCAGATTTCGCCTCGACGAACGTTGACACATTCCAGTATTATACCCCGCACAGGTTCAAAAAAACGTAGAGATCCTCTAGTGTAGGTGCGTGCTTCATCGCCAAACAAAAAACCGCCTACGCAACAGCAAAACTCCCGTGAGTTGACAGTGAACGCACGACGCAGCGCACGAACATGACTTCTGGTTCATTCCTTTAGTTTTTGCTCAGACACAGAATCAGAAATCGCTGCTTCCATTTGACAAGTGTGTCACAGATAGCATTTGTTAATTCGTCTACTTTAGATCTTAAAATACAAGTTAGGTTCTGCAACTCTTCAAGTTTATTGCACCTTTTTTAAGAAAGTTCAGGGCTGGTGTATTATGCAGGCCAAACTTCATTGCTAAGGTGTTCGGTTAGAAGTCCGGGACTTCGTATGCTTGGGCCCTGGTTCGGAATAAGTTTCCAATGTTTCTTCAAATAATTACACTGTATCTGCGTAAAATAAGCTATGCATCCATTTTGGTTTTTTTTTTTTCTAGAATCACGGGCAACGTGCTACAAAACATGTAACAGACGGTGCTGCATTTTAAGGGAGAAACGGCGTTCACAACAAAAGCCTTGAGCGTGACGTAACTAACTCGATATAGAAAAGGCTCGAATGGTAGCTAGTCAAACACTTTAAGTTATAGTCTAAGGGGCCTACCACGTTTGGCAAAAGTTCACAAATTATACATATACTAAAAAAGCGGATCTTAATGTGAGGTTCGCTAAGATCCGTTCGAACGTCACATTCATATAATTATATCTTTGTGCAGAAAGGGCAGCTGAAACTTTAACATGGTTTCTCTACGTGAAAAAACAGTTGGCTTTCGCTTGACGTTGTTCGACACATTGTCTTTTCTAGAGCGAAGAATTCTACGCTCGTATAAAAATCAAAGCTATCCCGTCCGTTTCTATGATGACCTGTGTACATTTCAGTAAACGAAAATTGTTTTAATCTTTGATTGGTAAAGCTTTGTTTGGTATCTATCTTAAGTGAAGAACTAAATAGACTTTATCCCGTTAGTCCGTGGGTCATTCAGTAAGTTCAAGTAACTAAGGGAACTAAGGGAAAAAGGCATCAATGTTTCAGCACAGAAACGTTACGTAGTTGTAACGAATAGTAATCATAATTAGATTCTCATTTATACTATCGTTCACTTATTATAGTACTTCAAAATAAAATCAGAATATTCTTACACCTCCTTTTCTTAATTTAGGTTTTCTGGATATGTATGAAAGATAAATTGTGTTGCAACAAAAACGCTTCCAACATTCACCTGAACCGAGCTTTGTGTAGGATCAAATATGATTAAAATGTCAACATGCATTCCCAACACACGTAAGGTGAGTGGAGTATATAAAAAGAACTGACGTCAAACCGCGTAAAAATACCCTGCTCCTCGGAGTATTTTTCCGTAAATCCCATAACGCAAAGGAGAAAACATTCGCTTTTCCCTATCGTATAAGGTAGGTCGACAGGTACCAGCATGTCCGATGCGTGTGACGGTGGCAGCTATTTGTGCTGCATCAATATGCCTTTCTTGTGCCTTAGCAGAATGCTTAATACTTGGCTGGGCTTTTACCAAGGATAACTCCCATTCTGAATTTTATGCTTATGTGATGGTTAGAATGATTGTGGCCAAAATAGTGCATAGTTACATTGGAGACCCCTGGATATTTTTCCTCCCTTTGAGGGCAACGGGGATGCCCCGTCTCGCATCCGGCTACTCACTTGGTTTAAACGGCCTTAGTGGACGGTATAATCCGTCCTGGATCCGACCCTGGAACTTGGTCTTTCTGATACAATACATCCAGAAGACAACATATCGCATTATTAAAGGCTAACATTTTTGTGCGAATAGGATAAAAGCTACGAAAGCCAGAAAAATTACAGTATTTAATGCTTGACTGAACTTTTCGGATGATGATAACTTGGAAAATTAGAATTGTGCATAATGGCTAAATTGTTCGATGTAGCTACAGAAAGAAAATAGAATTGTTCTCCATTTAAAACAAACACAAGGGATTTATATATATGGAAAATCATTCATTTTCATAGATGCTCTGTTTATCATCATAAATTTGGTTAATTTTGAACCGTTGCAGTGGAACTTCACCCTCTAGTTAGTTATGTGTGCGACGTAGACTTTAGCCCTTCAGAACGTTACGTCGTCTAAACTATCGTGGAAACGATCCGTAGGCCAAATCCAGAGGGCAGCCAAGGTAAAGGACGCAAAGCGGTCCTTTCAATGTCAACTGAAGACAGAAAGGTGATACGACATTGCCCGCATTGCTAAAGTTATTTAAATAAACTTATAACTTTTAGTGCTAAATTTTGACACAGCGTTAACTTGGCGTGACCAGTATTGCGCATGGAAACAGGAAATGCGATTAATGTCATGATATTGTATTGTTTGTCGATTTATTTATGGCAAGCCACGTAGGCCTATTAGCGTGATAAAACTTTTTTTTATTTTAGAAATTATCTGGGGGACATGTAAGGTACTGTCGTGGCTGAATGTAATAATTTTAGTTAGTCTTCGTGAGCACAGATGCAGTACTCGAAAGCAGTACTTGTTATTTCTTTACCGTTTTCCAAACATACATTTGAAACGTTTAAGCCGCATGCGCAAGGTACGTTATGAAAGTATTATTAAACCAGTTTCGATATGTAAATGATCTGTCGTAGGTAAATAAGAAATTTTCGAAGTACTTCGGCAAATCAAATTGTGTGTCCTAGTTATTTGGATATGCATCTAATATATATACGTCCATATCTTAGGCTATGTAACGCCTGCGACCTTTAAAGTAATCGATCCTACTGGTGCAGTAATCCAATGTTTGAATTATCTGGTAACCAATAACGACTTACCATGCGGCTTACAAGGGTCGTGTAACCAACAGCGAGTGAGTTTGCTCTTAGAGGCACTCGACTCATTGAAGACACGCCATGCGGAAGAAGTCCATTTGTCAGAGATTTGTGAACGATGCACGTCGTTCACACTGTGTTCAACCTACGACCTTGTTTGAAAAACTAGGCTCAATGGTGCTTGCTAGGTATGGCTGGTAGTATGTCTTGTCTCATGATCGCGGTATCGACTAGATAAACGTAGGCGAATGACATACGCGTCGTCCAAAGGGGCACTTTAGTTTCCAGGGAGTTTTATACAAACGAGCAGTGTAGTCCCAACCTTCTTAGGTATTTAATCCTTTAATTTAATTTATCTAAAACGTTTCGTTTCAGATTACAGAGAACACCATGTACGAATGTGGTTCTCGGCCACGTGAGTTCAACATCGGCTAAAGAAAAATTTCAAACGAAGTAGAGTCGCATCAATGATGAGTCGACCCAAGCTATCGTACTCTGTTGCGCCATGTTTGTTTCTAAATAACTGTACGTCTAAATAAAGTTACTAGTTTTTCTACGTGTGTGTATTCTCTAGAACATGTCAATGTTCATCTAGCGAAGCGGTTTGCATTATTCGAAAGTTTCATGTGTATGAAGATCAGCTAACCCTATAGTGGATGTCCGCTGTCAATGCTTTCCATCACTGCAGGCGCTAACACGTGGGCTGCAGTGAGCACATATTACAAATTAACACCTATATAAAAAATATAAACTTCCTAAGTATGAAAAATTTTACATGTATAGGGTAAACAAACAAGCGTTTCCATTCGAACGGGTTTACCATAGGCTATGCTAACTGGCTGGATTATTTTCACAGTATATACGTATGATGATATGTATGTTTGAGGTGTTTGTCTGCAATGTTTGTACGCTTTAAATATTTGTCCAGCTAATCTTAATTTTAGCTGTTATTATCTGCATGTGGTCGAATATTTGTTACGCTGGCACGTTTTAATTTCTATACATTTATTCACGCTCCTCCAGAAGCAAATAAGCGTCGATCTAAGCTGACTTACTTGGAGTCTTTTCGGTTTTGTATGAGAACGTTCTCCAACATCGATAGACGACGCACTACTATGCAGGCTCAGATATACGGTCCGCTTGAGCACTGCGATTCACAACAGGATCGGAATTGTTCTGCGCCTTTTCATTTTTCTACCCCAACGCCCTCAACTGAGGGCAACAATGGACAAAGTATATTCATCAAATGCCCCTTGTGCGATCGTACCAGCTCGAGCTATACTATGGCAATCAGGGTAAGCATATAGTAACACACTTTTGTTATCTAGTATCTTCGATTGGTAATTGCTCATTGATGTGCTCGGTCTTTCGCAGGAAAACAGGTAAGCCACCACTCCCCTGTAAGCAGGGTCATATATTTGGCAAAGCAAAATACTATGCATTAGGAGTTAGATTATCGCCCTATATAATTTTATTAGATTTTTATATACTCCCTTCTGACTACATTTGTTGTTAATATTAGCAAGTAATGCTGTTTTGTTATTTAAATGGGCTTTCGTACGCGATCAATAGATAGAGCACGGCCTTGGAAGGTCAGTGGGCTCGGTCGCTGCACGATGCAGTACGACTTAGCTAAGGGATACTTCTAATACGATTGGGATGCCTATCAGAAACGTTTGTCCGCCTTAGCTAGTTATGATGCACTTGCTGATTGTGTATTACTAAAAAGGACTCGTTTTACACTGTCTTATTACTGTTTGTCGACAAGGCCAACAAAATGTCTGCCCTATTTAGGTGCTGATGCAAATCTCCTGCCGCATCATTTTCCAGTGCATTGTTAGCACCCTTTCCACTTGAACAGGCGCATGCCATCGTAGAGAGCCGGTCGATTCGTACGGTCAAAGAACATTTCGCATTCTTCAATGTGGGGCCTGCTCGTCGGCGTCACGGCCTCGTTAACACATTTGCGAACGAACCACTCTATCTGGGTCATCCTCCCACATTGCTATAGCGATTCTGCGTTCATCGGGCTCATCGGAACCATACGCCAGTAGAAGAAGATGCAAACGATAATGTCAAAAGGAAATAGCTCAGCTATGTAAGTCCGAGAGCCGGGCAACAAAACGATACCGACTTCTGCTCATAACAGAAAAAGGTTGCACGGTCGACCTGGCCTGTTAGACTTAAGGTACGGTTGAGTCTCATCGCATAAACCTATTTGGTAGCCGAATGATTTCAATATATCGCCTTGATAATGCCGAAAATTTCGAAATGCAATTAGCAATACTACCGTTGCTATGCGTCAGTTTTTCGGCCAGTAAATACTTGCCGGAAGAATTGTATTTTTCATAAGCGGAGCTTGTGTATGCGACATCATTCCATGCTTGGCTCTAGTAAATAAATTGTTTCGAGTTACAGTGAGAATAGTTTTGGGTACAAACATATTATATGTATAGAGTGATGTTTAGTACAAACGATCAATAAAACTGTAAAAATTATCGCTTTGATCTGCTTAGATGAAACTGAAGTAGGCAGTGGACAGCAAAATGCCTTAACGCAGTTGTGTCTGAAAAAATAACGAGCTCAATTTAGTTAAGTGAATTGCATTACTATTTAAAGGCTGCCTTCGAAGGAGAAACCGCATGGCCAGCATGCCTAATGGATGTAATGCTCTTACTATCTATGGATAGCGCCGTATCCCCCGCCGAGGCATGGGGGTACGGTCAGAGTTGATTCGAGTGACACAGTCGTCCTTGAGAACATGCTAGGGCCACAGGGTGTGCCGCTGCAACATTGGCCAGCCTATATATATATATATATATATATATATATATATATATATATATGTATATATATATAGGACGCGCTAAAAACGGCTAACTGGGAAACGAAATAGGTGTGTATATAAGAAAAATAGAAACGAACGCCAACTGCGCCTTCGGGTTGATTCAAGGCGTCAGTGATTCATGTGTTAAATTTTTATAAGGCTTATAACAACTCGCACCATTCATGTGTGGCATCGTTACGTTATTATTAGGTAATTGCGGTTTGCTGCTTAAGATATATCAGTCTAATAACGATAAATATGTTTACTATTGTACTCGAGCTCGAGGCGGCTGTTACTAATCAACCAGTTTATTAATACGATCATTTCTCAGCACAGTAGGTGCGTAAAAAATGGGCAATATTCCCATCCCAAGCATGTCGATGTGACCGAATTCGCGCCGTCGTTACAAGGGTAAACGCAAAAATGTTCCCGACTGAATTCGATTTGGGCCAGCCACAAAATACGGCCAGCGAAACAGTAGCACAGAGAAAGTGTACTACATTTCACAAAATATAAATATAATTCAACAATAAATATCATGTACTGAACTCTTTGCTTAAGGAGTTAAGCGGAATCGATATAACTTCTCTTATTAAAGGGAAAGCAACACAGCGTACTTTGGTTAGTTCGCTAATAGACTTTTATTGAATCGTTATATTTTAGACTTTTCTATAGTTCTTTCTAGCAATACATCGAATGTTATTCCTTGTTGTACCCCTCCGATATACGTTGGTATAAAATATGACAAAAAAACTAAATAACCCTCGTGCGTTGCTGCCTTGAGGTTCTACCGCCTCCATCCCTAGATTACGGCTTCATACATTCAAATTCCCCTAAACATTTGTACCGTTTATACAAAGGTTGTGTAAATAAGTCATTTCTGTTTTGCTGCAAGGGTAATTTTCGATAATTTGATAATATTTAGCCAGTGATACGTATATAAATATGTTCTAATAATACTTATATAAATGTACATCTTTGTTGCAGGAATGTATAAATCAAGTGTATATATATATATATATATATATATATCTTTTGATATAAATATTTTCCACTGACAGGTATATCTTAAGCGGTAGAGACCGCCTTCGCAATGACTCAATAACAACATTGACAATGTGTATCTTTTACATCCTCTTCAAGTTTAGTTATGGGTTTATTTATTTGATGACGATTCGAAAAGCATTATGCTTATCAACTCATCAGTATCAGAATCAATCAATTATACATGTATATATAGGTATTATACGAAATTCTCCGTGCAGAGCTTCTGTCGCGGTCGAAATAGCAGCAGACGTGTTATAGAAGCTGTTATGGGTCATGCAAACGATTATCGGTAAATTCCGACGCGCGCTAGGTAAACTCTACCTGTGTCTAATAATTAGTACGCCCACAGATGGTGTGCAGTGGCGCGCATATATATGCACCGAAAACAAACGGTTTCAGCTACTCCTCAAAGATACTGATGATAACGACATTTTGAACCGTTCAGCGTTTACGGCCGTACCAGGCTGAATAGTACGGCTTTCAGCCGTTATTCTTCTCTAGTGTATTCGGATTGTAATGGTATTGACTTTTTCTGACAAAAAAAACATATAGTCTGCCTGATATGCGAGAGTCTTATTGCAAAATATCACTAGTAATGTGCGTGAACTCGGGAGTCGCTGAGTGTTTGATTTTGACAAAAAAAAAAAGTCCATGCAGCCGAAGCAACATCTACGCCGATAATTAGTTATTAGTTTTCTTTATTTGTTTTCGAATGCAGTCATTAATGATTCCCTATACTATGTCAGTCGCTGATACCGATGTGATGGGAGAACCGCTTTTAACCGTACAAAATGCAATGATAGTGTTTATTATATACCTAAGATATAACATCAAAGGCGCAGATGAGACGGCATACCTCGAGAAACGGCGTAATTCATCACAAATGTATAAAACATCTACATTTTTTTCTATATTAAACACCAGTTAAGATACCTTCATTTCTGCCCGCGCTAAGCTAGCCTCCTCAAACGTCTAAGGGACACGACACGACTACTACACATTTTGCATACGTTCGTCGATGTTTCTGTATTGCCTTTAGGCACACGATAGAATTTATGGAGGCTTTACCAGCTTTTGTTTTCTCGCGAACGACCCAATCGAATGTTCTAATGTTAGTTTTCTAAAAATGTTCCCGTATTGAAATCTGACATCAGTATTATTGTCAACGAATAATATTAGTTATTTGCTAGGCTAGTGAAGCGGTTTAGACACGGCCGGGGCCAATCGACGAGGTCCATTCCCTGCGATCAATAAAAACACGGAAGGCCAGCTACAATTTCACTTTCCTTCCACATTAAGCAGTTATCGAATGACCTATGCACAAAGTTCGATTAGAAAGAAGCAATAGCACCGCTCGATGAGCCTCTATGGGCTGCGAACTTGGTTTGAGACCTAGGTCGAGACTATAAAGGATGCAAAAAGCAGTTCTATAGCTGTAATAATAATTATAAGAAGTGGTAAACAGACAATTGGCACTAGATTCAGATGTTTTTCACTATTCTTATGCCTTGATAAACTCCACACACACACGCACACGTCATCCTCCTCTTCATTGAATCATCGCCACCAACAGTGATTGACTGATTGCGCCGATTCACGGCAGAGGTCACCGCTCCTATTTCAAGCTAGTTCGGGAAAAGCGTAGATCAAATCCAATCCCTGAAACAGCCCAGGTGTGCTTCAACGCACGGAGACAGCACTGAATCAAACAAAGTTCATATCATTTCTAGTCGTACGAAATTTAAATTGGTTGATTTTACGTTCTACGATGTCAGGCGTGCGCGAAATTTCGGGTGCGCACGCGCGTATTGTCGATAAGCTCTGTCTATAGTAATGTTACAAATGCACCTGACGGAACTATAAAATCTCGCAATGTAATCCTGCCCTGCTCTCCTCAGCCCCACACACATTTTATGTTTGATGCAGTGTAAGTAGCTGTTACAGGTAGCCTCGCTTTGGTCCGGGTTTACATTCTTATGAGGTCGCCGTCTCCCGGATCTTGATACTGCCATCGACATCGTCTGTAGTGACTTGGATAGGAATGGCAACGACGATCCTGCTGCTGGCCGGTGAAACGGTTAGCACCGCGTCTGACGCTATTTCGACGACCCACCGGCGTCTGAGATCCGGATCACGTAGTTGTTGTCGTCGTAGTCTTCAAAGCCGAGTCGTCTTTACTTCGAAGGGCTCGACGCAGCTTATCAACGAGCCGCATGTGAAACTTGTTCAGAGAGCTGGACGAGACCGATTGCGGCACGACGTTTGCGGATGTTGCCGAGGTCCCGTGCTCCGAGCATCGGGATATCCGCCTCGAGCGATTTGCCATTGGGTGGAAACCGTCGGTTGCTCCGCTAACTACGGAACGCAGGCGTTCGTCGAGATCGCTGCCAGGCGATGACGACAACGATGTTGGTCCCGATGTTCCACAACCGCCCCCTGCTCCCGGTGAGATGGCGTGCGATCGGGAGCGATTCGAGCACTGCGACGTCTTGCGGGATCGTGATTGCGATCCCGGACCAGATGCCATCCCGGGATTCACGGGGCTGCCTACCGCGCTCGTCTGGTAGATATCGAAGTTGTTCTTCACAATTGGGCACATCATGGTTACGCTGGTCAGTGGCGAGCGGTGTGCGACTTGCCGTCTAGAAGCACTGCCTGAAGTACACAACTTAATTCTTACGAAATGACAATGCCGAAATATAATCTGACAGTAAAATTGCACAGAGGATGCAAAGCAGTTAGACTTGGACAATTTGAACGGCTCGTACAGGCCAAGTTGGCTTCGTCTTTGCACTCACAGAGTTGTTTCGTACATTATCAGAGCTCTGAACAGACACATTACAACGAAGGCAGAGTGATGTTAACGAGCCACCCTTTCCGATGCTTATGCAATTGACAACCAACGATAACAATCCGATTCTTTGTAACAAACAAAAGAGAATGCGTATGAGGTGCGACGCCGACCCGTCTGGGGAGCAAACGTACTAGGCCATATAATGGACTGGTAATCTCCACCACAGCAAAATTTTAGATCGCTTTCTTTCGATTCGTTGGATTGTTGCTATTTAATCTCGCTTGTGATTGTCTGACATGCCTGTTTTCTGTTGATTCAACAACGATTTTGGTCATCGATAGTAGTTAAATGTTGGGCTTCTCAATTGCTACTACTTAAAGCACTAAGTCTCTGATCCAGTTCGATTCTGTACGCGCACACGAAGCGGTAAACCCACACCTAATACTGAGATCAAGGAAAAATCGATATTGCGAGGTTTCCGCACGTAACGAGGCTAATCTCTCCACTGAGCAGTACACTCCGTCCCTCGTAATTCTATTCATTCAGTAAGCTTGTGACGAGCGTATTTTGCCGTCGGAACAGCTGATATTGGTTATCTGATTAAGGCTAGACTACAGCCTGATTGACAAATGCTAGTGGGTTTTCTGACAACAACTTATGCAAACTGTTTCGATGGGTCGGTAGCCCAGCCCGTCAGTTCTTGCGCTGTTACTCGATCGCTTTTGTTATAATTGGGCTGCACGCTTCTAGTTAATTGACAGTTGACGCTTGAGCGATCGTCACCTTTTGAGAACACCTTGAGTCGCCTCCTTTCACAAGGGCCAGTGTTTCAGAACTTCAGAGAGATCCAGATTCTGTCTCTTACAATTTGCGTATTTACACGTGAGTTTGCTCCGTTGACATCACTGCTTCAGACCCGATGCCGCCCAGTGTGCATTCATAAGTGGCCCACTATCGTCTGTCCGTACTAGCGTTCATCAGTGCAGCGTGCAACCCTCTGCAATTCTCCAATTTGCTGCTGCTGCTGCTGCTGCCACGATTTAGTTCTCTCGTCAACACAAACCGCCAGTCCGACAGCCCTCTCCGTTGTGAGCAACGTTCGGTAAGCAAGTGGTCTGTCCTTTCAGCCCAGTCAACCAAGCTCTCGACCGAGGCCAAGGAAAGTTTCCATAGTCGAGCGGAATTTTCCGCTGCGCGCGCCTCTCACAGCCAGCGAACACCAGAAGGGAGAGGGCGTCCTCGGCTGGATCAGGAATGACAGCACTGGAGGGAGGGTAAGTTATAGTGGGCGGTAGCGGCTGGCGCCAAGGCAGGCTGCCACGTACAAGCACATGGTCGTAATGTGTTGCTGGGAGATAGGCAGTGCGAAGTTGCCGCCGCTGCCACCGACGTTGCTGCTACTGCGCTCTTTCTAGGAGAGCTGCTGACTCGTAGGAACCTATCGCTGGACGCCTGCTCACACGAGGAACACGCGGTTGTAGCGTAGAGAAATATGCAGACAATGCTGGACACACCCAATCGCACGTTTGTATACAAAGCTGAGTGAGGCGGAGAGAGTCGCTTTCACTCGAACCAACCGCCAGCGAAGGGAGGTATCCCAGTGCCGGTCAAAGATAATTGCCCTCCTATACAGCAAACGAAACAGACATACAAACTTTAGAAGTATGGATTGAAACGTAAATACGTTCACGCAAAATATGCGCACAGGTGTATAGACAGAGTTTTTCTGTCTCACACACTTAGGAGTAAGAGTCGGCGGGCTTCCACTTGTCACGTAGAACTATACACGTCGCCAAAGATGAGCCTCTAAACGGCTTTTCCGGCATCTGCTGATACCGCCCCCACCATTGCCACTGTCCAGACCCCCCAAAAATAAGATATAAGTGAGCCAGTATTGGTGTTAGAAATCGAAGTAGCGTCTACACTCAAGCATTTCCTGATCTGTCGGCATGGAACAGTACGGCAGGAAGCTTACGACCGATCAGCCAGGAAGGCCGGCGTCAGAAGACTAGCTCGGTGACTTGACTGCGTACCACGTTGGCTGCTAGATCATCGTCCATTCACTGCTAGATATAACAGGGCAGGCTTTCTATATTCGACAGTGTACCACCTGGTTAACATGCGACAGGCAGGAATAAGGTTAGGTCGGTGCTTACAGCAGCTAGATATAAAGTTGCCACCCTTACTCTACCAAATCGCTGCGACGGCAGTAACAGGGGTCGCGCCAGCATGAACTCACAAAGCGTTAGTCTTGGAAGTAGGGGCAGTGGCTAGGTTTGCAGAGTCACGGAGCGCATTCGTGTTGGGCTGTTCCGCAAAACTATGGCCAGGTCGCTCTTGCGGGCGTCGACCCATGACATCACTACGACTACCGTAGCAACTGGCTGAGAACAACATTACGCGGTGTCACGAAAATCGCACGCTTTTATGTTGATCATCATCGACGCGCGACCAACCGCTGGTAAACCCATACATTGGAGATGAACGAAGTCACGTAAACATAGCGAAATCGCGTAGAAGATCTGGCCGAGTTTTGTTCTAGTGAACCTGCCATGATCGCTGCTTTTTTCGGTTTGGGATAAATTTATATGTATTATGTATAAATGAAAATCCGCTCTGTTCAGATGGATCGTACAAAAAGCATAAAATGGTGATAAACACTTAACCGAGAATATATTACAATGCAGTATACGACACTGTACCAGCAAACGAAACTGAGCATTACCTGCACCAGTTGTCGAGACTGCCCAACCGATCACTTGAAAGAAAGATATTAGCACGCTGATTACATATTACACATGTATTCTGGATTAAGTATGTGGTACGATGGATTTTAAGGCGAACATAATTATGTGGTCCTATCGTCTTCTAGCGGTGGGTAATCAAAACAGTTGTACAGCCTGCCTAAACATTTGCTTTTTACCCTACTGGCAGGCTTGTTTCGAACTGATTTCGATTGAGCTGTCCAGTTATCGCGTCTCCCCTGTCCCGTCCACCGTTGTAGCAACGACAGACACTCGAAACAGCACCTTTGCTCTTGTCGAAACGGTGGCCTGCGTCAATAGACAATAGAAATAGGCAAAGGCTTGCCTTGTGTAAAGAGTGAACAAATGGCATACGTTTAAGCTGCCGTCTGCGTCAGGTTTTGCTGCCTAGCTACTGGCCTAGTTAAAATATCGTCCACAACGTGGTTCCTATAACGCTAAGCTGTCCTCTGTTCAGAACAACCATCTAGCAGATGTGTTGCGCCTTGAGACCTAGTAAATGCTAACAAGTGTGAGTGGATGGGTAGATGAATAGGCGCTGGCAGCTCGCAGTTCTGAATGGATCGCGAACTCCTCAATGCAGACGACAACATCGGTTACCGGAATATTGTCCTAACGACTCGGAATCGAGTAGCGTTGTGTTCACGTAACGCGTATGCTAAACAGTTATATATGCTACCGATATATAACTACCATATATATACTATATATCGGTACGGGGTTACAGCCGTTGATGGATTTCGTTGCGGTGCATACAGATATCTACCACTGTAGAAAGTCTGCTCTTGCTATATAATCGTATATGTTGTCTCCAATTTTTTTGTTTAGTCGTTGTAACGAGTCTAGTCGAGCTGATTTCTTTGCATCGGATGGAACAGTTCGGGCCAAACTCTGCAAACCCAATGAATCCGGGTCTGCCGACATACGTTCTATTTGCCCATTTCTAGATCAGCATATTTGTTTCGGTTAAGAAATGTTTCAATCAATTTGCGCATATAGATTGTTGAAACCTCTAATCGTGGACTATATATCATCCACTGCAAACGCTTCCATACACAGGAGACTAATGCTTAAATGCTCGGTCGGTAAATACACACATAAACGGGGCGCGTCGAAATAAGACATTGTAGAATTTCCGGACGCGGTGCACCTATGCGGCATGATCTCGCTAAAAGTACATCAATGGGCTCGCTTTGTTTAGTGAACGTCTCATTTCTTGTTCATCGAGCAAGTGACCGCATTTGGAACTATGTATCAGAGTTCTGACGCAAAACAAGGCCATAGCTTTATACTAAATCAGGGCAAACATCGCCCGAACGCATGGCTGTGCTATAAAATGCCCTATCACACTAATAGGAAACCCAAACTATCGCACGTCTACTAAAACACAGTTATACCGCGTGTATTCGAACAAATAGCTTCGTAGTAAAAGCTGAGTCACAGGTTCTTCTTTCTCTAAACAGCACTCAAAAGTATTAGCGTATTTAGAGGTATTTTTTTATAAAGTCGTTCACTACGTAACCCGCGGTACTCTCATGTTACACCAAAACGAATTATAACTTTTCGTTAATTAAACACCGGTATAGTTATTTACTTTAACCACATAAACACATGTCACTGAGTTCGTCTTAGGTCCACTCATCAGCCAACAACCGACAAACGTATCAGACAAGATCTGGCCTATGCTAGTATCAGCCACGGGGAAGTTTACTGTTAACTGATTATTCAGCATTTCTTCATAACGCGTAAATAGTTACGCGGAATACGTGTCCGTGTGGAACTACTGGACTCACTGTTGTTCGGCGCTTCGCGCCGTCAATTCTATGTGCGTGTGTTTATCAAAGGGTAAATGTGCATATAGACTGGATCGTTTTGCTTGCTCGGTCAAGCCATTACTAATTGGAGGTAATGTCCCCATAGCGGTCTTAATGATCAGCTGCCGCCCTCTGCCTGCTTCTCTATTAACGCTATCCACGATCGCTGTCTTTGTTGTCGTTTGAGCGTTAGCGGAAAGCGAGCCGTTTGCTGCTCCAACAACAAAGGAATAATCGGGCCGAAAAAATCTCCTCTACTATCGCTATTAGCTTGTAACCACGCTACAGTACCGCCAGCACGGCGCCTCACAGCAACCTTGATCTGAGATCAGTGGCGCGATCTGACTGGTATACGAATGCGCAGGACACAGAGAACACGGCACACCAAGATATTAGACTAAA